AAAAAAAAAAAAGAAAAAAAATCTGCACACATCTGAGGCATATTTAGATAACTACAGAAAAACAACAAGACCTGTGCCTTAAATGCACAAGCGTCAATAACAACTATGTGATATCTACATCAAATAAATTAATTTTTCGAACTGCTGACGTCACACTGCACGAAAAACAGGAGAAATAGACTTTTTAAGTTAAAGAAACAAAAAAAAAAAAAAAACGTGAAAAATATACATAAAACGCAAAAATATGAAACGTGTGTGATATTAAATGAGCGCGACGGTGGCAGCAGCAATAACAACTACAAAACAGCAGCAGCAGCAGCGACGACGTTGGCAGCAGCGGCGACGACGACGTAGGCGACGGCAGCAGTGGCGGCGTTTTCGGTCATTTGCTTTGTTGGTGGGTTATACGTCGTGATATAAAACGAAGAAATTCCAATTTAGGTGCGTGCAACACACAAATTTCCTTTTCTCTTCTCTTCGGACATACAGTTTGATACCATTTATCAGTACCTGTGAAACTGCGCAGCCATGTGTTTGCTTTGTTCATATATTGTATGTGTTTTTGTGTGTATGTGTTTTCGATCGACAATTAATCATACTTTTAAGTTTGCTTTGTACTGCCTTTCCTCTGCTCTAAAGCCCGTTAATAACCTTTAAATGCCTTTTTGTATTTGTTGAGCGTGTGTCTGTGTTTTTCTCGAACTTTTACGAGTGTAAAAAGTTAACTTCCAAAGCAGTCCTCTAGATAGTACACTTGTCCACGAATTAACATTGTACTAAAAGTCGGTACTGAAAGAGTTTGTGATAAGGGCATGATGGGTTTATTTTATTACAACCCATGACTTGAAATGCGCCATGCATGTGGGCAAGAACTATGTATATTTTCATAAAATCGAATGAACATATATATATATATATATGTATATATGTATGTACATACAAACAATATGTACTGGGATTGCTTACATAATGTTTTTCTATTAAATCTTAGAATATTTCCAAGCAGGCATATAATAGTTGTTATTTTTGTATATGCCAACGTCTTTCGCGCCTTTGAGCAAATCACTATAAAAAACATGCTCATGCTACCAACATGCAAGGCATTCTTTGGCTAAGCTGAGAAATTATTATGCGACGCATTTTATAAGCCTGCCAAATCGAAGTAATTCTGTTGTGCTCTACCGTCCACTCATCAACTGGAACTGATTTTTGGCATTTGCACCCACCAAATATGTCTGTAAATAACAGAAAACGAAGAAATTAAACAGTCCCTGTTGAGCTTAACAGAGCTCTGTTGTCTAATATATCTTACCTGAGGATTTGCCATCTCGCTTGCACTAAGAAAAATTAGTATATTTTACGTTTGCTGTTACTCTTTGTCTGTTGATTTTATTGCATTAAAAGTTGTATATTCCGGAAGAGCAAGACCTTACACTTTTGAAGTTGCTTTTAATGATATTCTGAACGACAATACCGGTGGCAACGGAAAAAAGATAGTAGTGTGCGTTCATTGGTTAGATGCAATTCGGATTAGTTATATATATGTATGTGTATATGTTTACATACATAGCTTATAAATTTAAACTTATGTATTTGCGAATTGGTCGGTTATCAATAGCATAATAGGTGTGGATCCTAAGTCAGAAAACCGGTTGCGTCGCAATATGTATGCAGTCCACACTAGAACCACTAACCAGTGCTAAAACGCAACCGTGAAAAAGCAGCAGAATAACAACAACACCAAAATCTCTGTCAAGGCATGATCTAACAGCTGTTATGAAAACAGAACCGAACCGCGAGCGGCCGGCTTCTCGTAATCAAGTCGTGAAAGCAACCAGTCCAAGCATCCCCTTTCCTCTCCCACACACGCACACTCCTGCTTACACAGCACACATACATTATATACACAGACATATGTAGATGAATAGGCACATTAACAGAGCGTTGGCGATTGTGCTATACACATACATATGTACATACCAAATTCTTTTTTCTGGCGCTTACCGATTACTGAATGGTTATATAGCAAAATACATACATAGGGGTATATGTACATGTGAGCTAATGTGTTTATATAGTCTTTTTATTTTTATTTTTATTGTCTGTATTTTTTTTTTACTGCGCATGCAAAATGGCTTTGCAAAAGGAAAGCGAAACTTTTACGTGTGCGCTGCAGTCGGCAATTATGCCGCTACTCCCGTAGTCTGCCATGCATTACAGCTGGTGCGAGTGTGTGTGTGCATATTGGAGAGTGCGCACTTCTAAAGAGACGGTAAATCCAAAAGTACATATATCATGTGCCTATTTACCAATTTATGTTTGTTTATTAATGTATATGAGTATGTATATAAGTATATGCATAATGAATACAAATGTATGAATAATGAATAGATTCTGTTAGAATTTATTCAACAACAGTTACAGTTACAGTTACAAGCGCCTAATTAGCTGCTAACCATTAGTCATGGGCAGAGTTTTAAGGCGGTGCCAGGGTGGCAGAGCAGTCTGAGCTGTTGCGAATCCCGCCAATTAATATTCGTTTTAATACCATTATCTCGTGTTTTACTTTACTTTCATTTAAAATGAGCTGCGCAGCGCCAACGTCAAAGCTGAACCGCTATAGAAATAATCTTAGCGTGCGTGCACACCTCTCTTTTGATCGTTGTATACTCAGCACACCACAGATGAAATATATATTTCAGTATACATACATAGTACATATAGTATAATAGTACTTCTAGAGCATTTTCTTCATCACTCACTGGTGTACCGTACGGTTGAGTGAAAAAAGCTGTATTATTTATTATGTGTAGGCCATTTTTTTTTTTAAGATTTGTTATTTCATTTCATTTTAATGTTTTTTAAGTACTCTTCCCTGTTTACATAATGTATTGCTATTTCTCCAAGTCACAGTTGCTTTTAGTGTTTACCTTTTGGCTTGTTTTTATTAAATAAACTCATCCAACGAGATGGCAGACAAGTGACAAGTGCACACACACACACACACACACACACACACACACACACACACACACACACACA